CCCCCCCCCAAATAGATCAAGGAACTCTTGAAAAGTTACGATTTCTGTGATAAAGTATGTTCCGTTATAGGATCTGTAATTTAAATTTTTTTCAAAAAGGACTCTTCGATTAAGCCTTGTCCTGAGATCGTATAAACACATGAAAGGTTTCAGGTCTCATTTTCATTGAAATTCCTAAATTTTCGAAAGTTACTAAAGTTCAACATTTTGTAGGTAATATTTTATAATTAAAATATTGAAGGAGATGTTTTTATTTAATGAAATCTGTTGATCTAAGATATCTCAAAACTGTCATGTACAATTTTCTGGGAATGAAAGTAGTTTCCGTATATAATTTTGTGTGAAATTAGACAATTTTTAAACAATTATTTTCTCAAACGGTACGGAATATTTTCTGTAAAATTTTCTCCTCATATGTATAAAAGAACAGTAACAAGTGGTGCTTGCCCCATTTCTGCCAAACTCTGCATTTTCGAAAATACAAATGTGAAGATGGAAATTTTTGTCTTAAATAGAATCTGATCTAAATCATCATATCTTTTAGAGGGTCATGTACAATAATATTGTTAAATAAAATAGTAATATTTGTGTAATTTCTGCTTGGAATTGTACAAATTATAGAAAAAAGAATATAACTGCTCAAACTTTTTTCATATTTTTTTTTTCTTTCCGCAGAGTTTAAGGAGCTGTTACATTAATCAGATGGATCTCTCTCTCTCTTTCTTTCTTCTTCTTTTTTTTTTCTTTTTTCTTTTCTTTCTTTTCTTTTTTCTTTTTCTTTTTTTGCTGCTAACAAGGGCCAATCAAAAGTGGGTTTATGGGTTGTATATATATAACCAACCCAAAAACATGTTTATGGGTTGGTTATAGTGCATTATATACGATGAATACATAACTAATTCTAATACAATAAACTAATTATTACTAATGTTTTATTATTTGTAATATTTTTTATTTATTAGTGTCTTATATATTCACACCAAAAACATTTATAAATTAATGTCTTTGGCCAAGCTCATCTAATAAAGTAAACATTTTATACAGTAAAATGAACCCTTTAACATTCTATAGCTGAGAAATAGAAATATTTAATATGTAAAAAATATAAAATTAAAACCTTAAGTTTTGGAAACCTTTGTTTAATTTTCAACTCGCGTTGTTTACCTAAAAAGCGTTACTAGTTTTTATTAAAAACCGAATAATGACGTTATACTATATTGCTTTATAGTCTTTGTAATTTTGAAAGTCTATAATACAGGATATATTGCTGGGGTCATGATGAAATGCTAAAATATGCATAGATAAGTGACCATTCGTTCAGTGCAAATATGCATGTTCTATACCTCACAACATGGATGACCTATGTGAACATTCATGTATTGAACACCACCTATTGGAACATTCATTTAAAACATGGATTATCAAATAGGCTTTAAATGATTTCTATAAGGTTAATTTGTAAACCATAGCTCTACTAAATAAAATTGCTTTATCTTATCTCCACCACCATCTCCACATTTAACAATGAGCTTCTCAAATATCAATTGTGGCATTGTTATGCCAATTTCAATTCAGCTTTGCAGATTGCTTGAAAGAAATACATCAAAACATTAAGAATACTTATTGTAGAATAGATTAAAAACAGAATTCATATTTTCTTTTTCAATAGTGAATTATAATTATTTTTTTTATATTATTTGGATCCATTTCTGTTTTCAGAATGTTCATGACCCTTTCAATGAGTTTTTTTTTTTTTTTTGCAATTTTCGAGAGAAGATGAGGGAAATAAGAAGAAAAAAAAGGAAAAGCAGAGACCAAAACTCGAAAATGAGAATAGCACTAGATTTTTTTATCATTCCTTATTTTGTGGAGAAAATTTTTAGGAAAGAAAAATTGGAGGGGTTTTTGAGAAAAAAAATTGCATCAAATGCAAATTACACAAAACCTAAGTGTTATCAAAAAATGCTGTAGATTTGTTTGCCCAATTTTGCACTCTAGAAGTAACTACAGTGAAGTAGAGTGGCTGCAATAGCGCAAAACATGAATGGGTTTTTATTTTTCTCTACACTTTCATATACATCTAAATGCTGAATTCAACTATTTGGGTCCAGATAACTTGAGTTTAAGGGTTGACGATTCTTCAATGTGAAATTGATAAACAGGAAAAATGTATTTTGGTACTGCCTTACAATTTACATGAATTATACCTTGGTATGAAGGAAATTAACCATTTCTGAAACATCCTGTGTATCGACTTTTTAAAAATTTTATCAACTCTTGCTGAGAGGTGAAATTAAAAAAGTTTCTCAATAATGTCTGGCATTGGAATGTAATCATGCAATGGAAAGTACCTTAACTCAACTCGAGTATTTATGCTTTCACAAAGTACAAAGTATATACAGGTTATTGCACAAAAATATGCGAACAGAGGTCAGGTAGATAGTATTGCTATTTTTCAAATATTGCTAATCTTACAATTTTTAAATTTATTTTTATTTATGTATGTTAAACTTTTACTCATCTTTCAACCATTTATAGTTTAAATGACAGGAAGGGATTCTGGAACTCAAGAAAACATGTGCAGATAATATTCCCCCCCCCCCTACGTCACATACAGTTTTTACTGATTTATTTATTTGACTGAATAAATCTACATCTGGTAAAGGGCAGAAATTGTTGTCCCTGTGTCCTAGGAGTCAGTGCTAGGCTATGTCAAAAAATGAATTAGACTTGCTTTGAGGTCAGCAAAGCAACATAAAGAGTGGCTATTATTTCATTTGTGAGAGAGGTAAGGCAGAATTTTAAACCACAAGTATTCCAACAGGTGTTGCCTAATATAAAGAAGGTAGGAGTTTTTTAGGACGGCAATCATTATTTTTAACAAGAATAATGGAGTAATTGAAAAGTGAATTGAAAAAATGGAGAGTAATGCTGAACTCAAGATTAATTTTGCAACAATTCTGTGCCAATCTCCTGCCTCACTCTTTCTCGGCCTAAAGTAGTAAGCTCCTTTTAAAGTCAGGTGTTACCATACCAACTAACCAGGGCAGGTGCGTTTTCAGATGTAGCATAACTGACCTGGCATGTTAGACCCATCATTTATTAACCAAACTGCTTCCCTCTACGCCCTGTTACTTTTTCTGTACACTTCTGTCCTTGTTTTCTGAAATGCCCTCTTAATTCCTTCCCGATATGTAATTTTTAGCTTCTGTTGCTAATGTTTGTGAAGCATTCTGATTTATGGTACCTGATTTTGTTTTGTTAGTATTTTCAGTATTATTAAGGAGAAGGAAATACAATTTTATTATAAGAAACTGTTATTTTTCAATTTAAGACATTCAGCTTTCTTTTTCTTGTTGCAATTCATAAAAGGCAACGTTGCAATGTTAGCAATGTTTCGGCTATCATCTTTGTCATACTCAGGCCTCTGGTTTAGAGAAAAATGTTATAATTTATAATACTGGATGCTATACAGCAAAACTTCTACATTAATTTCAACAATTGGTCAAAGGATCAATTGAACATAGGCTCCTATTGACAGTACTGGATAATATAAAAAAAAAAAAAAATTAATTACTTTCAACTACAGATCAAAAGTCATACAATTAATAAAGATTTGTATCTAGTAGCATCCAATTTGAGCCTGCAAGGTCTGCAATGGGGGCGGACCCAGGTAAAAGGGGACCTATGTTTAAGCTGAAGGTTTTGAGATTGTAAGAAATATTAATTACTTGATACTTTCTCTTATACTTTGCGATAGTTCATACGGTAAAAATTTTAAAATGGCAGCTTCCTGAAGAAAGATTTTGTCCTTATTTGGTAGCTTGTGTAACACTGTTTCTAAATCAATAAAGGTAATCAATTTATTTAGGTTTTATAATTCATTAATTATTTAGGTCTTAATTTCATAAAATTAAAAAATAAAGGCAGATATTTCCCACTGTTGAATTCAAATTTGTTAAAGGATATTTTTATTATTTAAGGTACTAACCTACTCGAGTTTTGTCAAACAAAATTTTTGCGAGCCTGGACAAAATTTTTGCGGATGGGCCCACACTAATTTTGTTACTCTACTTTCTGTATCATATTCATTACATTTTGTATAAGTTGACAGAAACTTACCTTATTATTAAAGCAGCTGGAGTGCGAATTAATAACTAGAATGAAAATGTGTACATTGTTTACAATATATACAGTAACTTAAACACTGTGAGGGGCGCATATTTTTACTTTTTGTCAGTTAAACTTCTTTGCGAGACAACGGGAGTCAGTTATGAGCAATGTAGTAGTTTATGAATAGTAATGTAATGTAAATTCATTAGAAGAAGAAGGAAAAGTTGTATAATTTTTAAATTAGTAAATTTATAAAATTGCCTTCCCACTTCAGTTTGAATACTTTGCGAGAGTGGGTATAAATCCATTTCTTCTTGCATCATTGTGGTTGGAATGTGGTGTTATTATTTTAGGAAGAAGCATCTTCTATATTTGGGTTATTGTTAGCTAGCAAGCTTAAGAGACTTTGTTGTTTGATATTCAGTTTCTTGGTATTGTAATACAAAACCATTAAACATGTCTCTTCTTCTTAAAGTAGGAACTATTTCAATAAATAACTTATAAATAAAATATTTCGTATATAATGAAATTGTACTTAAATGCATGTTTAATTTCATTATTGAGATTTTGTTTTTCTGGGGACACCAAGTTTACTACATTGAGCAAAATATAACATCAAATCAATTCAAACACATGCCATTAGGATTAAAAAATTTTTTTTTAAAAACTGAAACGTTGCATATTCCACAGAACAAGTGTCTAGAAACCTTATTTTTATTCATTTTTTTCTACTATTTATCAAATTAAATAACAAATGGAGACTTAAAATATAAGTATATTTGTATCATCGAATGTTGGTTTTTTTATGCCTATGTGTCAGTGGGTTTACTGCTTTCTAAGTTCAAGACACTTTGCTAAATTCAAGTAATGGGTTGCGGCTGTGTCAGGTTGTGGGGAGTCAAAGCCAGATGCCAATGGTGCCCAGTAGCGTCCCTTCTGTGCCTCGTCTTGCGTTGATGTCTCCAAGCACAGCCAACACAACTGTACCTACCCCTGTTGCTCTGGTGCCCAATATAGCAACAGGCAATAGTTCCATCACTATACAGGTAATGCCTGTTTGGAAGTGTTTGGATAAGTGCATTATGAAAGGCAGTGTCACTGGTGCCTATTCATTTTATTGTGAGCTGTTACTTAAATAACAAACATGTGCATGCTGCATCTAATTATACCATTCTTTAAAACCTACTTATATAGTAACATTTTCCAATTATTTTTTCAAGTAACTTATCTCTAGAACATGGAACATTGCAACAATGCTGTAGGGATTCACAGAAATCATTGTGAAGATTAGTAGCAGTTTTATTGAAATTTGCAAGTAAAAGATAATAGACATTGTTTGTCTTTGTTTTCAAAGTTATTCGTTTGAAAATGAGAGATTTCTATGGGAAGATGATGCATCAAAAAAGTAATTCAGTGACTTGGTGTGAGAGTTATCACTGCTTTGAGTTTCTAGAGTATTTAAAAGAAATTAGAAGACACATTATGGGGGTATAAAATGAAGGGCTACAGAATAATACCATACAGCTGGAGATTCCAAATACAAAAACTAGAAGTATTTTGGAGTGTAAAAATAATTTAGATGGGCATGTAATAATCAACGCTTGTCAGTAGATAATTAAAGATGGTTATTTCACTTCAGTTGTTAAACTTTTGCTTGTGTGGCAGTCATGCATGGTAAAGTTCTGCTGTTGATGTACCACAACTGAAATACTGGAAATACTGTTGTAATCATGAGAGTTGCTGCAGTACAACAATGTAGAATCCAGACTGTAATTCTTGTGAATAGTGTGAAGATTTTTTTTCTTTAATTCATACGTTTTTCTTGTTCTTGATAGTGATCTTATTTGTAGATGATTTGGATACTTGTGTACCGTTAGGATACCATAAATTAAAACGGTTGTAGAATGTAACCCCCCTCCCGCTCTTCTAAAATTTCATTTTGCAAAATCCTACTTCTATTGAACTTTTTAACAAAACTTTTTTGTGTGATGTATGTTCATATTCTTGTACCCGGATCTAAAGTAATTATTTAAATTTAGTTTTATTTGTACCTGATTTTCTGTGTGTTTTCCCTTGATCTGTATTGAACTTTCATTCTCAAAATTTACTGAAGTTTATTTTTTCCACACTTTTTTCTTTCCTTCTTTTTTATCTTGTGTTTTCCTTTTGGGATAATTTTTTTTATCGTTATAATCGAATATCCAAAATTACCGAGTGTTGATGGTGAGAAAACTGTAAAGGGAACAATTAATAGAATATCAACATTGAAGGCAATTAATGTTTTTGAATGAAAATGTTAAGAACATTTTTGATAAAAAATGATTCAAGCTCTTCAAAAAGTTAATGATAAATATATTGAAGTCTAGATGTACGTGGCGATATTTTGTGTTGGAAGTAGTGTGGTTTTAGTTTTTATTGTAATTTGTCCGTGACATATTGAAATTAAATTAAAGTTTTTTATATTGATTGTAACGTAAAAGCTTAATTTTGACGTTTTCAGAACAGCTGTTGTTGAATGAAGAAATAGATGGAGGTTTGTGTCTATGCACACAGACCTTTTCATTTGTACATTTCACATCCAGTCTCTTTGGACAGTGATAGGGTCTATTTTTTCAGTAATCATCATAATTTGATATTTTAATTGCAGGTACAACCATTCTTTTGTTAGGAATTATTTTTAACATTGAGATAAGAAACTTGGCTCTCCGAGATGAGCTACTGAGATAAGCCCCATTACTACAGAACTGCTTTGAGTTTGCAAGATGTTTGCTGAAATGCCAACCACTACATTGCAACCCGGATAGCCAAGCTTAATAAATACTGACCACGAAAGTTACATAACTATCTCCAGATACACTTTTGGTGATTTAAAGCTATATTATCCTGCAAACTATTATTCTTTATGTTCTAAAATTATTTATTTCAAATGCAGAAGCTGAATGTTTTTCCCTTCCAACATGTGATTGAGCATGAACTTCTTTCTTCTCCCTTTTTTTTTTTCCTCTTTTTTTTCTTTGCCTTCTTTATCCAACTTGAACAGAGAAAATTATTAAAATTACTACAAAGTTGATCAAGTGTGTTAACACTGATTTCTGCTAAATAAATTAAGAACAGTTTACGTAATCAACATTTTTGTGGTGTGTGATTTGGCTAGCGAGAAATCAACTGTATGCTTTCTGAGTTTGTCTGTGATGAATGTTTAAATGTTACAGCTTACACACCACAATTTAGTGTTATTTTTTCAGCAGGTTTCATATTCTCATAATTAGGCAACCTTTCCTTGAACAAATTACCTTCCTCACTTAATCCAGATATTAGTTTTCACTGTTGGTATTCATAAATAGCAATGTCACTTTTCTTTTTTTTTAAAAAAAAAACAAAACAACAAACTATATATTATATTTCCTACTTATAGTAAGCATTCTTCATAGATGTTAAATTATAAAAATGGATTTTAAATACAAATCGAAATATTTGCAAGGAAACTGAGCTAAGTTGTGGCGCACCGCGATGGTTAGCATATGGGACGGTTAGCGGTTAGCATATGCGACTGTTATACCGAAGTTAGTGCGTTCAAACCCAATCGAAGCTGTGGATTTTTAAGGGTGGAAAAATCCTTTGTACGCCTTCCTTCAGAGGGGAAGTAAAGCCGGCTGTCCCATGTTATTAGATTTACTTGCATGTAAAAGATCCTAAAGCATAAGTGACGCCTCTGAGCAAAATTCAAATCACCTGTTTCTCGCCCAAGAAGTACATTTTTTCTCTGCTGGTTGGTGGAAGGAGCTTAGCGAAATTTGCGTGGTCAGACGGAAGAGCGGGCCTAATGGCCTGGCTCTCGCCACGCAAAATAAGGCAACATTTCAATTCAATTCGATTCAAAGTTGTTTTTAATTTTTTATCAGGCTTAATAACTACTTTTCATGAACTATTTGTTTTTGAAAAATTGTAAAAATGTATTCTCAGCTTCTCATCCAGCATTCCCATTTAAAAATATAAATTTACATATATGAATGTGTTTGTCTTAAAGATGCAAATCTATTTGATTAACCTTGACCATTAAATATCCGAATTTATTTTTTATGTACTTAACTGTATTGCAGAATGGATAGATATTTCAGAACTGTTGATTCTGCAGCAAGGAAATGGAAACTGAATTAATTACCATCATTATATTCAGTAAAAGTACAATACATTTTTTGATCAGTGGGAAGACCCTTTAAAGGCAATGAAAGCAATGTTGGCAAAATATTTAATTTGGTGTAGCTTTGTTGGTCTGAAGTTACTTAATATTAAGAATTGTTTATTTTGTTACAAACAATTTGAAAACTACTGTTGATTCTACTACGAATGAACAGATTCAATAAAATTGCCCTATATGCAAGCTAGAGATGTAATATTAATGTTTGATTCAAAACAAATCTTTTATTTTGATTCAAAACTTTTTTTTACAATAAAATTATTACATTCAATGTGTTAATTCCTTCTTTTTGCAGATTGTGATTAGAATGTTCCATTTGCATGTCTACAATTTTCTTTGTAATGTATTAGAAAGTTCTTGTTTCTGTAACATTACACTTCTCAAGGAAATTGTCACAACATGCATTTTGAATTGAGTTAGTTACGTAAAAAAAATTTTTTGTTTTTAATGTTGAGCAAGACTGAGTTTCTGAACTTCCGCTATCACTGCTCCTCAACTTAGGAAATTCGGTTTTCGTTTCGTGCTTTTGAATTTATGCTGGTGATTTTTATTTATTTACTCATTTATTTTTGTTACTGAAATTATTGCATGTTCTCAGTGTTGAAATTGCTATTCCATGTACGTTCTATGTGAAATGACAACACAGCACCTGTCTAAAAACATTGGATAACACTAGCTCATTAGAGATTTTCAACAGCAATGTTACTGAAGTGCAAATTAGCCCTTATGGACAGGAAATGCTCCCAAATTAATGTTATTATATTTTCTCATAACCAGAATGGTACATGTTGTCTCATATCTGGTATGATCTTGTAGGGCAGTGTTTAGTGCAGAGGTTTTTCACACGTAAAATGCTATTGAAAGAAATATGAACATAAGAACTAGTTTCATTTGAAGAGGTCTGGTGTGTTAAATTCAAATTAGGACTGTATTACTAAGAACCTAAAGTTGTTTAGCATTTATGTTCTTATGTTGGAAAAATAGTAAGGAATCTTGGAATAATGAAACACTATGCTGCTGTCACTGCAAATCAGAATTTTGCAAATAACCTTGATTACATCTTGATTTCTTATTGCATCTCTCAGGTACTTCCCACTTACTCCTTGTAGCCATAGGGAGCTGTTGTGACTTCCACTTCTAAATACAGTTTCCATATACTATCTTAACTCTAATGCACTATTAAGGTCGCTCCAGATGAAAATTTGTCTCCATTGTCACACATGTCATTCTCGTTAGCTTTCTGTGAGATTTTCCTCACACGATCCTCGCAACTCAATCTCGCACGTCGTCATATATTTAACGTAATACATTAGTAGATCACAATCTGCACTGCAAACTAGTAACTGCCTGATACCCCTAGTGCCAATGTTTCCAGAACTACAAGGAAAATAAATGTTGCTGGGATAACCCGACCTAACCCTACACCATTTACTAGCTTAAAAATTATGCTTGTTTATCTGGAAGTGTCGTAGACCCAGAAATGCTGTGACCCATATGGCCTACAATGCTGCCAAAGTTTTGGTAGCAAGAGTACAGATCACAAACATGTGGGGAAAGTTCATTTCAAGATCTTTATCGTAAGTTTCACGGGCCATTTTCAAGTATCCCATTTCAAGCATGTAAACTTGGTTTAGATTATCAATCACTTCAGTTTGAGGCAGTGTGTATGAAAACTTAGATTCAAGACATTCTGTTTAAAATCTGTCTAGTTTTTGATTTGGTTACTATCAACTGGGAAACTAAATTCAGTAATAGAATTAGTAGAAGAAAACACAATAGAAAACAAAAAATTACTCATTGGCTGAAGAGTTGAGTTTTCTGAAAGCGTGTATATTTCCAATATTATTG